TTTTTGAAAAGAATTGAAGAGGGAATCAAAGGGAAACACTTGGAGGTAAGATTTTTGAACTCAATACTCGATCCTATGTTGATTCTTACATGTTTAAACATGAAATATGTGGAAATTAAAGCCTAAAATTGGGGAATTAGGGCTTGAATTTGGAGAGTGTAAATTGGAAATTTAAGGGGCCATCTAAGGTCCGATTTTGATGTTCTTGGTATGTATAGACTCGTGGAAGGATGAGGATTCTATTGATGTAATTTTTATCAGATTCCGAGATGTAGGCCCGGGGGGCGGGTTTGGCCAATTTCGGGATTTTTGAGTTAATTTGATTATTTTCGCTTGGGCTTTGTTCTTTTAGCATGTATTAATGATGTGAAACTGATTTTGGTTAGATTCAAAGCAATTGGAGACTGATTCGAGAGGCAAAGGCACCGCGGGCTAGAGTTTGGACCGGATAGAGGTAAGTAATGATTGTAAATGTTTGTCCTGAGGGTACGAAACTACGGATTTCACATCGTTGTGCTATATTGAGGTGATGCACATGCTAGATGACGAGCGTGGTGTCGTGCACTGTTGGGGATTGAGACTTAGTCCATCCCGAATGACTGCTTTACTGCGTATTTGATTGAAAATCGTTTGCTATCATCATGTTTTGGGCTGAATGCCATATTTGGGCCTCGTACCAATTGTTTTGGACCCTTAGGGGATTTTTACGGTTATTCCTCACTATTTTGGCTTTATACTTGTACTCAATCATGTTATAATCTACTGTTTTCATAACTCAACCATTTTTACTCTGTTTTGACATTTTAAATAATATTTTGGACTGAGCATCATGTGTTACTGTTGCCCGAGTGGCTTGAGAAATTTCTGACTGAGTGAGGACGAGGGCCTGTGTTGTGAGGATATTATGGGATCGGGCTGCGCGCCGCAACAGTGTGATACCGATTTATGATTATGAGGCTGAGGGCCTAATCAGTTGTGCATGAGGTGGCTTGATATGAGGCTGAGAGCCTGTTTGATTATGTCACGAGATGACTTGATATTGCGCTTGGGCCGTAAGGGGCTCCTCCTAGAGTTTGTGCACCCCCAGTGAGCACGGGTACCCAGTGTGATATGTGATATAGCCCGAGGGGCTGATGTTGTTCCATGTTATTGCCCGAGGGGCAATTCTTGATTTATGTTATGCCCGAGGGGCTGATTACAAGTGATTGTGAGATAGCCTGAGGGACTGATTCTGTTGATATTATGCTCGAGGGGCGATTTATGATACATGTTTTGCCCGAGGGGCTGCTTACGTTTCTATCATTTTTACTCACTGTTTTATCACTCGTTTGAAACTATTGAAAATTTGTTTTAAAATGTTTTTACTGGAACTGAGCATGATTTACGAAGAAAATGATTTTTGTACCGTGTTAGAACTATTTTGCCTTTGTTGTAGCATTTTGACGTGGTTTACGTGTTTTTTTATTGCTCAACTTTTATTTACCGTTATTATTTACTGAGTTGGAGTACTCACATTACTCCCTGCACCATGTGTGCAGATTCAGGTATTTCGGAACCCGGTAGCGGGTGTTGATTACTCAGAGGCAGAGTCATCGGAGTTTAGCAAGGTAGTTGCCCGGGCTTCGCAACATTGCTTTTATCCCTCTTGTTTTCATTAGACTGTATTTAGTACATTTTCAGACTTTTCGTTGTATTTAGACCTTAGTAGGTGCTCGTGACTTGTGACACCCCGATGTCGGGCTTGTATATGCACTGTTCATTTAAACTTACATTATGAAACATTTGTTTAATTAAAGGCCTAAAAATGATTCTTATTGATTAATGGTTAATTTGGGAGTTGTATCGGCTGGCCTAGTTTCACGATAGACGCCATCACGACCGGGTCGGTTTTAGGGTCGTGACAATCTTTGTAACCACATGATCTAGAAAATGGTCATTATTTCTTTCATTCACTCACCCATAATTTTCCCCACTTTTTATCCACTAAATTATCCACCAATCAACTAATACATGTTTATTACCCAACTACCATCTTATTTACTCTATGGAAGAAATTCCACATACATAAATATGAGCCTTTCTTCCTTGTATTAGTGAGCAAAAAATATTTTTAGTGTATATGTAAAAGTGATGTTCTGTTGTGAAAAATTAAGAATAAAGTTTAATTTCCAACTTATTTACTACAAAAGAGAGTATTATCTTAAGGAAGGTGTTCGTAATGGTTGAACTTTTAACTCAATAAATAGTCTAGAGTTTGTTACTGCTGGCTGTACCGGTGAAATTTCTATCAAAGTAAACTTTAATCTCCTTAAAGAAACGAGATACCCACGCCTTCAGCTTGTGGAAATTTATTTTTTCACCTTGTATGGGTCGAAATCTGACCACACGAGGACTGACGTGAAAAGGAATGGAGAGGGATCGACTTAGCCGTGGTTGTATCCATAAGGCACCATAACGACGAGTATTTCGGCCATGACCGAGGTCGAACCATCAGAAAGCTTGTATGGCGAAGTACATGTCGTGGCATTTAGGGGGGACGATCTAAAGTACAATCGGCAGATTAGGGTATTCTGGCTAAGGACCGTTGGATAAAGGGGAATACCTACTATATATATACTAGGTAAGAGAACAAGAAGGGGAGACTCTTTTTGCTTCTTCTAAAAACGCAGAAGAACGGGAGAAGGTTTCTCAAGAAAAACAAGATAAAGTTTAGATCTTGGCTGTTGATCTTTGTAATCATTATTATTGAATCAATAAAGATAGATCTCGTAGCTGTCAATGGCATTCCTTCTCTTTCTTCTTTATTCTTACATTACTGAACTGTACGTCAAGAATGTAAGCCCCTCATTTACATTCGATACCTTTTATAATCTTAAAAAGTTTATGAGCTTAATTATATCCTATTTTCTTATTCAATATTCTTTGATCTAGAGTTAATTATCCTTGGCTAGGATTTATCCTCTATTTTCTCATTAATTCGTTTTAAAGAAAGGTTTAATACTTTTTTGGTAAAACAACGTCTATTTGTATATTCACCAACATTCTCCAATATCGTCCTTCATGTGTAAACGAGGCTTTAATTTCTTGTATCAGTGTCTCTACGCCTCTTTCTTTGTTTCACCCTTCTGTTAACATGGAAGTGGTAGTTGCACTGAATGTACTAATCTGTTAATTAAATACTGATTAAGGAACAGAAATATCCACCTGCCTGTTTTCTTCCTCTTTGTTGCAACTTTACCCTACACTATAAGTGACAAATGAAGTGAACAAAAGTAAAATGATCATGATGTTGATAAGTTGACTCGCTGTTGCTTTTGCAGGAGAAAATTATCATGGTGGATAGATGTGAACCAAGATGAAAGAAGGGTTTAACGAAGAAAAGGTAGCATGTATTACTGATTCTTTTATTAAGCTTTCCATCTATACTTAAAACGAACATGTTCATTAGATATGTAAATGAATCTTCCTTCTATTACCACAAAAAAAAAAAATAGGATCCTACTGATGTCTCATTGAATTACTTGAAAAAAGCTGAGGGAGATTAGCATGTCAATGGTTGTTAAGAAAAGGAAGAGAAAAAATTCCAAATCATAGACGAGGATGAATTTAGTGAAGGAGACACCAACCAAAAAAAAAAACAAGAAATAAACTGTTTACAATTTCAAATGCATGATGTAGTCTATTGAATCAGTCTACTGTTGGATCAGTCCAAGATATATGGTAGAATACAACATGTCGGCATCTAATCTCTCTTCCTCTCCCATGCAGAGTCTGTGCATTCTTGAGTGTGGCGGTGAGATGAAACCCGAAATGGATTAGGCAGTTGTTTTCATTATATATTAATATAAAAACATTGAACTTTCCTCTCTAATAAGTGCAATACGTAATAAATAACAAAAACAAAGAAATAAGAACGAAACAAATACCCGCTGGAGCGTTCCCGAAAGTTCCGGTAAGTACAATCGTGATTAAATTATAAGAGTGAAGGAGCTACTCAATTTACACGTTTGTTTAAATGAAGAGAAAACACGGTGATTAACGTTCTGATTCTTTAGTTTTGGCTAATTGGAATATTAATGAGTCTCAGGTTCGGCTGTATTTCCTAATGTAATTTTGTGAAATGGTTTCTTAAAGGCCAACTATATAGAGCTGCACTACCTCAAATTCAGAATTTGATTTCCGGAAGATATATTTATCAGAGAAAAGTTTTAATGCATTTTTATATTGGAACATTAACTCTTCACAAACAACTAATACCACACCTGTACGCATATTGTACCCAAATTGACCAAGTCTTGACATTTGAGTTAGACGTTACTGGCAACTTAATATCCAAATGATCGTGAACAGTGAACACGCCAAAGAAAACTATGAACCCTGAGACTGTTCTAACTCAATCACCTAATGGAACACTTCTATCTATCTGTGCTTGCTTTTGGTTTTTGTCAGTAACCTTTCTTGACCTTTGACACATTATCCGGGAGACCACCTCCACTTATAACTTGAGACCTTGAGAGTTGGGAAGGTGACTATCGTTTTGTCATCAGGACCCTCCACTCAATTGATTTGTGCAATACTTCTCTTCGCCACTCAGAAGGACTACATGTCATCATGTTACATTTGGCGTAGAAGAAATCCCAGCTCATAACCGGCATTTTTAATTACTTCACCATATTTCATCTCATCCATCTAAAAAGCTGACAGTTTGGACTAGTTGATTAGCTAATCTTCAACTAAAACGTCTGACTTCTTCACGAATTACAATTCCTCCGCATTCAATCACAAAGAAAATACTGCCACCAGCTATACAGTTAATTCTCTTATTTTGAGCATCAAGAACCATATAACCCTCGAGCCATAATCACGAGATGAATCTGAATATTATCTACTCTAGCACTATGAAGGGCTAGCTTGCTGATCCACATTCCTTGTTCATCAATCATAACACAGTCCGATAATGACCGATCTTTAAAAACACCACTAAGGAGGTAAGTCATCAATCAACAAAAACCAGAAAACCGTAAGATTGAAATGGAAATGCATGTAAATACCAATAGCTTCCGACCGACCACATTTAAAGGTTATCTCTGGGTGAAACAGTCTAACGACAAGAAGGAAATAATTTGTGGGAGGGGGTAGGGGGTTGACAAACTATGTATAAAGACAATTCTAATGGGGTCCAAACAGACTGGGAGACGAACAGTAAAAACAGGATAACTTGGTTATGCTTTTCTAGTTCACACCTCTCCAGCACTCGAATAGTATAGAACCCACATGGATATGGAACTTATGTGTGCCATGGGCCAAGAAAGGGAGGCAAGGGAAGCTACACAACAGACCCATCCAAGCTCCATATCACTCCTCAAACTCGTGGATGTGATCTAAGAGGTAATTAGCAGCAAGCTCCTCATTTTTATTGCAGGCAAAGAAAACTTCTAGTACAAGGTCATGATCGAAGCCCATTTGCTCAAGCTGCAAAAAGAGGGAAACACAAGACAAACAATCAGTCCTCAGCGGAAGGAAGTATATAGATATGAATATATGCAACCGCCTTGTCATACTCACACGTTCTATGGCTTCACGCTCTTCGGGTGTTACTTGTATAGCCTGTGGCATTGCTGCTGCAAGCTGGCCCAGTATGTTGCTGATACCAAAGAGCGAACATGAATTAGTACAAAATGTAATATTATGAGAGAATCGGTAGAAGAGTGAACATACCCTTCTCCTCCTCCCTCAACAGGTTCATTGATAAGACGAAGGAAATCAGCCTGGTGCTCCTGTATAAGCCTCATTAGCTGAGGATTCTGCTTCCCTAGCTCCTGAAGCATGGGCTGCCAACAATTGAAACAATGAAAAGAAAAGCCACCCATAATTTTCACAGATAAACCAAAACTAGAAACAAATTCAAAAAACAGTTTATATCCGTAAGGAGTGAACCTGCAAAATTTGAGGGTTGGCCTGAACCATTGCTCGTAAAGCTTGGAACTGACAATGAAAATCATTTAGATTAACTTCACTAAAATGGACTTTCCATAATGAGAGAGAGAAAGGGTAAGGATGCAGGTACTAAAGGTCAGGAAATGTTAGACGCATACCTGCTGACTGTTCCTTAGAAAGTCTAAGGTGTTCGCACCACCAGTATTAGATCCCAAGCTGGGAAGACCCTGTGTGAACAATGGGTTAAANGGTGGACTTCCACCAACTGGAGGAACCTCTGCTGTCTCGGGAATACCCTATTGATTAGAATTTAAGACTTGATCAGCAATAGGGACAGCCAGTAGGGGCTTCCAGGAAAGCTTAAAGACTTTGGACAGAAATGTAACCGCCTGATGTAAAACAAAATTAGCCACAAAAAATAACTACAGCAAACTAAATGTCTAAACCAAAAACTTTTTTATGACTACAAGTTAGATACACAACTACCTTTGTACTAGCATTTTCAGACAATACTCTCTAACTAATTAGTACAAACTAACTCCACATGGTCAATTCAGGCAAGAAATGCACGTTTGGAAGACAAATGCGCCACCAATCTACAGCCATTCTTTTCCACTCACTCACATATCTCCTAGACCTCATATGGGAGATGAAACTCTCCCACAAGAATAATGTGGAAGTTAAAAAATACCACCACACCCACAACGACAAAGGCCCTCATGGCATCAGCATCCATGAAAATCACTTGTCCCAGAGATAATATTTCAGAATACAGCTAATGGGCGAGGGAAAGACATTTAGCAGCAGCAATTTACTTCCCAAAACTCAAAATTTTTGATCAATGGAGGAACAATATCACCATTTTTGTTCAATAAGATATCAAAGTGGGAAACGGGGAAGAGAGGATGAAGATGCCAGAAGTGGGAGGGGGGTAGTTTACTTTCTATGATAGGAAGGGAGAGGGATTAAGTCAGAAGGCTTGCACAGCTAACGGATGCACGCTAGAGAAAGGAGGGAGCCACCAGAGAGGAGAGTGAACTTGTACTTGCGGAGCAGATGCAGGAGCTGAACAGGGCTAATGCTTTTCCTTTTCTTAATAAACGGGGACTAATGCTTTTGAATGCCTATGTCATCATTTTACTATCTTGTGTGACTAGTCCAAAAGCTTAAGAGAAAAATAATTTTATTTATGTTCTCAGGTGCCAGCAAGATTCTTTTCTTGGACTAAGCATGTGAACATTATTGATGTATAACTTTTTTTCGAGAGCATTTTTGTTGATGTATAACTGTGAGATTCGAAACCAGTACCATAAAAAATTGCGTGAACCATCTAATTTAAAACCTTAAGCTGTTACAGATAACTGGCTCCAAAGACTAGCCTTCAAATCATGTATCCTGTCCCATTAAAAAGGGGGCTAGGTTCCAGTAATACATTTTGAACACTATAGTTTTGGCAATTGGAGGACATAGACTGACAATATTATATTTGCCAGAAATCCTTCTCACTTGAGATTTGCACAAGCTGACCAGGATACCACCTTGTCCTTTGTCAGAAAAATGGACCTTCTGAAGCAAAACAGTCCAATTGATGTAGAATTTTATTTTACTGTGCATTTAATTAGTTGGAACTCTGTATTTGGTTCATTTGCATTTAGGTTTGCACTTTTTGACACTGTTAAGGCCCTCATCTGTAATGGATCTAAAAATTAGGCTCACTCAACAAGTGAACAAGCAAGCCTCCTGTGTCAGCTACCAGGAAAGGAATATCAGCACTTGTCTATATTTGAACAAACAAGGAGCTCACGAAGAATGGGTCCAGAGATGGCAAAAGCAAACAGTGACCCCCAAAGCTATAGATGCACACAATTCATCAAAAAGGAGTCAACAAACTTACAGAGTACAAGTATTCAACAGCTCTCTCGGGATTGTTAAAAGCTGCCCGTAGAGCTCGAACAACTGTGTCCCTATCCCACATTCCACCACCCATGTCAAGAATCTGCTGAATGGCTCCATCAAGGTTGTTACCAGCGACCAAGCTTGAAGCTGCTTGGCCATAGACATCGGATCCTGGCCTGGCCATATAAATAGATCATGTACGTAGAAGGTCATCTAACATTCAGCAGAAAATGCAAAAGGAGGAAATGTTTCTTGAAGAATATACTTACACAGCAGTTGATGCAGGAGCAGCAGCAGGAGCAAGAGCAGGAACAGCAGAAGGGGCAGGAGCGGGAGTTGGGGCAGGCCTGAAACATAGAAAGCCATCACAAGGAAGAAGCTTTCATGAAATGTCCTCTCTTCCCCAGAAAAGTTAATGCAGAGAGAATTAAACGGCAAGGCGCTGGCAACAAATAAAATGATTTGAAATGAACACTATCCCAAATGTCAAACCTAAATTCTGATAAGCTTGAGCTTTTTATTTATATATTATTCTTCATTAATAGTATTTAGAAAATTTAGAAAATAGTATGAACTTCTTATCCCGTTTAATCATGAAAACTATAGTGAGTCTAGATACTTCACACTTAAATAGTCATCATTACCTAGATGGTACTGACGCAACACATACAAAGGGAGCTGCCATGGTGTATGCTATTTGCTGATGACATAGTATTGATTGACGAGACGCAAGGTGGGTTTACGCTAGGTTGGAGGTTTGGAGACAGACGAGAGTCAAAAGTTTTCAAGTTGAGTAGGTCGAAAACAGAGTATTTGGAGTGCAAGTTCAGTGATGAGATGCATGAAGCAAAAGTGAAAATGAAGATTGATACACAAGTAATCCCCAAAAGAGAGTTTCAAGTATCTTGGGTTTGTAATCCAAGGCAACGGGGGGGTTGACGAGGATGTTACTCATCGTATTCGAGCGGGAGGATGAAATGGAGGCTCGCTTCTGGGGTTGTGTGATAAGAATGTGCCACCAAGACTTAAGGGCAAGTTTTATAGAGTGGTGTTAGACCGACTATGTTGTATGGAGCTGAGTGTTGGCCCGTCAAAAAGTTCCTTGTCCAAAAGATGAAAGCAATTGAAATGAGGATGTTGAGATGGATGTGTGGAAGACAAAAGCAGTTGAAATAAGGATGTTGAGATGAATGTGTGGGCATACCAAAAAAGACAAGATTAGGAACGAAGTTATTAAGAACAAGTTGGGAGTGGCCTCTGTGGAGGACAAGGTGCGAGAATCGAGGATGAGACAGTTCGGCATATGAAGAGGATAGACATAGATGCCCGAATCAGGAGGTGTGAGAAATTGACCACGGCGGTCTCAAGGAAGGGTAGGGGTAGGCCAAAGAAGTACTGAGGAGAGATGATTAGGCAGGATATGTCATTACTTCAGCTTACCAAGGACACGACACTTGATAGAAAGGTGTGGAGGTCGAGAATTAGGGTTGACGGATGACAAGTAGTCGTTTCTCCTAGGCTTACCAGTAGTACTAGTACTATTCTTGTATTTTCTTATTCCAGGTTTTTTATTATTACATGTTGTGTCATTCGCTTCTGTTACCCTACTACATTGTTGTTGCTATTGTTTGTTGCTTTATTTTCACTGTTCCTTGAGCCGGGAGTCTATTGGAAATAGCATCTCTACCTTTACAAGATAAGGGTAAGGTCTGTGTACACATTACCCTCCCTAAACCATACTTATGGGATTAAATTGGGTTTGTTGTTGTTGTTCCTAGATGTCTAGGCTCATTAGCAATTTAAAAGTCTCACCGGGACAAATTAATACATCACAATGTTACAGTTAACCAAAATACTAGGGGCAAAACACCGAATTGCACGGTCAAAGTAAAAATAACATGGAAACAAAAAAAAATCCGAGAAAATATGACATTGAAGAAGGAAAACTTACGAGGCAACTGGGACTTGAGCAGTTGTTGATGCAGGAGTTGAACTAGGTGCTGGGGTACTTGACTGCGGTACCTACAAGACAAAAATCAAGGATCGTTTTAACTGAAGCCTACTCATTAGAGCAGTAACGTCATCACAGTAAGTGTATGAACGTGCACATGCAGTAGTGTTGTCAAAGGCGAAAAGCTCTAAAAAACACTCTAGGTCTATTGGGGCTTTAAGCGCACTTGAAATGTAGGCTTTAGTAAGAAAAGGCGCAATGAAGGGAAAAAAAATCTATATGTAATTCAAGAACAAAGTATCAAATGCATTCATAATGCTTTTCTTTACCGCTAATACACTTATTTTTCGATTATGTTTGTTGTTTAGTGTCGCTTGGTTCACGCTAAAGCTCATGGGCAATGAGGTGCAGGTCTTAGAGGGTGTTTGGATTGGCTTTTAAGCTGGTCAAACCAGCTTTTAAGCTCTTTTTAGCGTTTTTTAGTGTTTGGCAAAACTGAAAAGTGCTTAAAACAAGTTCAAAAGTGCTTAACACAAGCCAAAAGCAATAAGTTGGTCTATCTCAACTTATAGCTTTTGGCTTAAAATCACTTTGGGGTTTGACCAACTATTTTACCCTATTACCCTTATAACTTTTTTATGATCTCCAAACAGTCCTTCCCTCCCCACTCCCTTTCTTCTTCCTTCTTTTGTAGTCACCCTTCATAAATCTGCAGTATTCACCCTTCATATGCAAAATACATGAATTTGATTGATTATTGATGCCACATATTCCATAGCGGCGACTAGGAAACATCATTCCGTTTTCGATCTATTATTACCATAGATACAGTGATTTAATTATAAGGGATTTAGCAATATTTGGTCAACTTCTTAGCAATTTAGCGGTGTTAAACTAAAAAAATTTCATCTTTTATTGTATCTGGTCCTTTATGTTTGATTACTACAATGTACTATACTTTTTAGCACTAAAAGAACTCCAACTTCGGCTTTTTGAACAAATAATATAGGATCGTTTCATTTGGATACTTCCATGCTTAAACAATGAAAGTCTACCCCTACAACTAACATGCATGGGTGGTGGATTTTACTTTAATTATTATATATCAATAAATGTTATTTAAATAAATAACTTATTTTATTAAAAAAATCCAATATATTTATAAAGTAAAGTGAGTTGAGACACAATATTTATAACTTAATTTATTCAGTTATTAAAAATTAAAAATTCACTAAAAATAATTTCACTTTTAGTGTTAGCAGCTTAAGGACAATTTAGTCATTTTAATAGAAATTCAGTTAATAAGCACCTTTTCCCGAACACATCAACTGCTTACTTTCAGCTTTAGCGCTTCTATCCAAACACGTAATTGCTTCTTTTTAAATTAAGCTTCAGCACTTCAAAAGTACTTTTAAGCCCAAGTGCTTAAGCTACTTTTTTGTAGCTAATCCAAACGGGCTCTTAGTGCCTTGCCTTAGACTGAAGCACACTCCCAGAGCTTTTCTGAGCTTCAGGGCGTAAGCAAGGGCTTTCACACTTCTCAACAGATTTACAAGAAAGGCCTAGACACATCTTGCTGATTAAAGTCGAAGTGTCCCCTCTAACCTATAGAACATAAGTCATTCTTCAAGTTCTGACTTATAAAGCCTAAATAGTCGAATTGTTTGCTCAGCTAAGACGAATAAAAGGGAAAACACTTGTCACTTGCAAAACATTAATTAGATAAAATGCTGCCAATGTTCCTTGACGCAATCATTTACTAATGTTTGGTTGGCCTAAATTTAGAGCACATTGAAGAGAATGTTTTGCAGCATACGGAAGAAAACAGATTATGCCTTATAAGGCCATAAATCATTTCCTCCAACAACCACCTCAACCTGATTCATACCAACTGGTGCTGCACCATCCACTTCTCCGACTATCTTATGCAACCAGCTTTTATGCTCAACCAAATATACGGAGAATATTTTTCATAGTATTTAACATCACAGCACACATATACTGACAAGTGCTTCCAAGACACCTTAATAACAATTAGACTAGAGTAACAGCAAACTGAATTCATCATTTAACTTTCCAGATTTGTAGTCTGTTTAATGTAACTATTCATATGAATCAAAAAAAAGTGTACTGCCTCTTTCAGTGAGTATTGACTTTTTACTATAAATGCCACCAGCATCTATACTCAACCAAACATATAGATAATATTTTTCATGAAAAATAATTTACTTTACACCAAGCACACTTGCATGCTTCCAAAGATATCTCGGTACCAATTAGATTAAAGTCAATTGAATTCAACAATTAACTCAGGATTCTGTAGTTTTGTTTTAAGTAATCATTCGCCTTTAGCAAACAAAATAGATTTAGGTGTGTTTGGCATGACGGAAAATATACAAGAAACTATCTACAGAGAGCAACTCTTTTGTGATGTTTGGTTGCATAGAAAATATTTTCAAAGAAGACAGTTTCCACTAAAAGAGAAAAAGTGACTTCCATTACTAATGTACAGAAGTGGTTTTCCTTCACACCTTTATCAACTCTTAATTTCATATTACTTCTTTTCCCAGAAAATATTCTGCACTCCAATAAATGACTTATCATCGGGAAAATATTTTCCATCATACCAAACACACAAGCAGCTATACATTAACCATTACCACCAAATTGTCACTACCACAACTATGACGAGGGTAGGATCTGTACAGGTAGGTCGGTAAACTGTCGGAGAATATGACCACATGCAGCTCATGTATAATCAGCCATTGATCAATTAGACCACTATAACTCACCAGACTTTGCATCACAAAACGACTGCAAAGAAAACCCCCAGGCAAATGCAAAACAAGTTGCTTGGTACTAACTTTTTTTTGAGTAAGGTTGCAAAACAAATGCAAATGATGATTTTACTCTCCTACTTCAATCCTCATTTGGCAAATTCAGTAATCCACCTCTGATATATAAAACATAGTAAAACATCTCATAACATGGAAAGAGAAAGAGAATGTCTCCCGGAAAGCATAAAAGAGAAATAGATATATACAAAAGAAAATTGAGGAAATTTCTAGTGTATAGTGCCTTTTTGGGATCGAATACCCAGTTTCCATAGGGTGGAAATAATCTGAACTTTGTCCCTTCCTCTATTTATTTGATCCCACTATTGTGTATTTAAGCTTTACCACTCTTCGGTTGAAAATGAGGATAAATAAACTTCTAACTATTTCAGATAAACAACAAAATGATATAAAACTGCAAACCTTAGCTGTTGGCGCAGCTGACGTTGCTGAACCTTCTCCAGGTGAGCTCTTACTCTAAAATTCCATGCAATAGAAGATAACACATTAGAGTAAACACACAAATAAAAACAAAATATAGTGCCAAATGTTCTCTGTACATTGTAAATCTATTTGCTTTTTGACAGGAAAAAACCCATTAAACGTTTTTTTTACTAAAAAGGAATTCCGACACATGGATTTGTAAGCAGGTATGCATCCGAAGAAGGTGTGTATATATTCAGTACAGCTACGTGCTGCTTTTGCTTGTTTTAGATTATCTTGAAGAATCCGAAGCAATTACCAACGCCACTTGACACGGGTATTAAAGGAAAACGGTGCATCAGTGTAAGATAAGTAAAAACACAAAGTGATATACAATGAGTACTGATAGAAAAGCATCCGTTGAGAACTACACACAATTCCCACTGGTTTTTACGTCTGCAGGTCTTCGATGTAACTTACATTTACATGTGGAGCATGAGATAAACGCAAGAGTAAAGCAACCATTTGATAGAAGCAATCTCAAATTGTACTCCATTGCAGAACAGAAAGCACAATAAAATGAAGGATAAGGTTCGTTGACAAAAGATTCTTATATGATCAATTACTCCATCAACATCATATGACCCGTTACTCTTATAAATTTATATTTCAAAAAATGATAGGGACCATCATCAAGAACCAAAAAAAAACTTCTCATCAGCACAACAGATAATACTTCAGTTTATACAGCAGTTGTGCTGTCTTAATATCAAAATAAACTATATTGGCATGTTTTAGATGAGTATCTACGCCTCACTCGAACATATTCACCCGGTTTCTCTTCACCCTCCTGCTAATCAAACTAAGAACATTAAATGAACGATCAGAATTTGCACAGTAAAAAGGACACTAAGATGATTAGTTACTCAAGAATGTCGTTGAGTATCTGATTTGGGATATTTTATACTGTCAACACCTTCCTGTAGGTAAACCTGATTTTGGGTTACACATGAATTTGAATGCGGATTTACCAAGTGCAAGAGCAGGTTTCCAACTCTGATACAATGAGAAATAATCTAAAGATTCAACCCAGAGCCTTAAGACAATTAAGTGGAGTCACACAAGACCTTTATAAAGGCATTTGCATACTCTTATATGCCTGATACATTATATAAGTCCAACAAATAGTTCAGCTTAAGCATATAATGATTTGGGATATTTTATACTGTCAACACCTTCCTGTAGGTAAACCTGATTTTGGGTTACACATGAATTTGAATGCGGATTTACCAAGTGCAAGAGCAGGTTTCCAACTCTGATACCATGAGAAATAATCTAAAGATTCAACCCAGAGCCTTAAGACAATTAAGTGGAGTCACACAAGACCTTTATAAACGCATTTGCATACTCTTATATGCCTGATACATTATATAAGTCCAACAAATAGTTCAGCTTAAGCATATAATGGTTTCCAAGAAGAACACTATTTGACAGGAGCAACAACAACTCACCTTCCAAATACAATAGTTATAAGCTATTAACTAATACATTACTCCATAATCTATCTCCAGAAAGCCCCTAAACACAGGTTGTAGAACCCAAAATATCCACCATGCTGTCTATATTCACACACTCCAAACTATACCAATAGCACTTAAAATTAGAAGTGAAAAGAAAGAAGTCCATCTTTACCTTCGTTAACATGATTACTATAAAGTTGTTTTCAGCAACTTTGTTTTCTTCCAGTGTCGTCCCATCTTTAAGGACCTTTCCCTGGTGGATAAGCATCTGCTGGCCAGCAGGATAAACATCTGAGCCCTGAACTGTTTCTATGTTTTTCTTCACATCGGCAACCTGAACAATACAAAAAATTCAGCAAAAATTATCTTTTCTAGCCTTTGGTGTAAAGTGGGTGCATGGTTTGACGTCCAACTGCAAAAAGATTTCAAGAGCTAAAATCTCTAAGATAAGTGCAATCCAGCTAAAATCTTTGTCCTGGAGAGTGCGACCAAATATAATTGAGCATCACAGTGCCATAGCCAAGCAATGGTATGACCTCTGAAATGTCACAGGCTCACTGCCTTGAATACTTCTGCTTATTGTTCATTCTATTTTTGTTATCATATCTTTTACTATTTGGATTCCATCCTCTAGCTCACTGGTGATCCCATAACTGCATACAAACTTGTATATAGTTATCTTCTTGCTGAATTTATAAATCAAAAAGTATCCTGCTATTCGTACTTGTTAATAGGAACACTTTTATGTTGAGCCTATTAATTCGTCCGAAGCTTTAACTTTTGATTTGGCATCAAGAGCAACTAAGACAGCTCCAATTTGACACCCACCAACAAAACTCTCACCTGTAACCACCAACTCTGTTTCTCCCTCACCTACTTATTTTATTTTTATTTTTATTTTTTATTTTTTTTTTGTTTTTTGGGGGGNTTTGAACCATGCTCATGAGTAATATACTGACAAGCTGAACAAGAATAATTTTCAAAATTGGCAAAACCAATGTCTTGACTTCCTTAGACATAAAATATCATCGAGTTATGTTGATGGAGGCAAGCCAGGTCCACCTCACAGACTTCAGGGAGGAGAAGAGACACCTCAAGAAGGAACAATACCAACAAATATTCTCAGGGAATATATTTTCACAATAGTGATTCTAGTAATCATATACAAACAACGGTAGGAAAAATGTAACAACTACAAACTATCTACAAATTTATATGCAACTAGAAGACAACCGGTAAGCTAAAGGTTAGAAACTAAACAATACTGAAAATATGTCAATATTTCTCCACCAAATTAGAACAGTGAGAAACGAGTCAAAAGTACGCAGGACAAAGAACAGACATGAGAGTGCAGGAACATGCCAATCTTAACCGCTCTTAATTCCTCAAGAAAAACTTCCTTGCAAGCTTGACTGAAGAGAATTCATCTTAAGATACATATATGTAAAACAATTGGTGGATTGATACCACTTACCACTTCGAAAGAAAATAAAAAAGTTAATTGGTGGAATGATAAGTGATTATATTTTCAAAGCCTTCTTCTGCTCCATAGAACTCGGAGTACATAAGAAACACACAACTTCAATAATTCTATAACTAAAAAATGTTACACATCGTAAAACCAATGGTAGCTCCCATATTTTTAAAGCTACAAGTTAAGTTTTCAGTTTTGTTACCTAACAGTCATACTAGTCTACTGGACCGCTGTGATTCTAGAAAACCCACAAGAAGCAATTTTGAAAACTACAGAAGATAAAAACTCATAATTAATGAATGCAAGTTATAGCCAAATTTTTCCAATTTTTCAGCTTCCACAGGATGTCATGCAACTTCAACCATAACTAGCAAAAATTCTGAACCATCCTATCCATGTTAGTCATTGGTTTATTACATCAAGTCAACCTATCAACTTCATTCCATACTAATTGGAGTCAATTATAATGAAACTCTGCTCTATAATATTCAAAGGATTCATAACAGTAAAAATCATTCAACCCAACCACACTTCAATCCCAAACTAACTGCAGTCCGCTATATGAATCCTCTGTAACCATTCCTCTCTACTGTTTAGTGTTCAAATGATCCCTTAATTTGACTATTTAAACCTGAGCTTTACTACACTAACAGAGTCCACTATTTAATCCGATTTAAACACAAATCAGAAACTCTAAACACATAAAACTCAAACCCTAAACCGCTTTAAAAAACCTAAAAAATCTCCAAAATTGGAATGCAAAATCAACAAATTACATAACAAAACTAACTCAATTACTCATAGATAACAACAATCACATCTATGCATCATAAATTATTCAACAAATCCAAGATATCGCCAATTGATCAAAATATTAAACCAAAAAAAAGGTAAAATAAAGTGAACTTAAATAATATCGATTGACAAAAAACAAAACGTACTGTGTCTTCAGGTTTGACTTCGATTTCAAAGTGAGAGCCTTTAAGAGTTTTTACAAAAATCTTCATATTTGCTCCGTCGCCGGAAATTTTGATCGCCGAAGAATGTAGAACACCGTAGGATATACAATTAAAGGCAAATAAAAATAGTGTTGCTTTTTATGCTTATAATCGGCGTTTTGTACGTATAAACTAAGAGGTGAAAGTTGGAGAGTTTCACGCGTGTACGAAATAAGTGTGAAGCACGCGATTTGGAGTTATGCTGTTAGGATGGCGCGTGAAAGGAAAGGTGAAGGAGAGAAGGTGGGAGTAGGTTGTGAAGAGTGAAGTAAGGAAAGGATCACAGCCAGCTAGATTTTTGTGTCACAAAGAAGGAAGGGTTTATAGGGATATTTATCTCATTGTACTAGGGGGTGCGTAGTCTCACTTGGAATGTATATTCAAATTAAATATTTCAATATCTCACTTAAAATTCAAATACAAAAAATATTTGCAAATACTCGTTGTCAAATTAGTAATCGTAAATATTAAAGTTGAGTATTTAAAAATAGAGTTGCTAAAGAAAAAATAATTCAAATTAATTATCAAAATATATTTTTTATGTTGTATGGTATATCTATTGGTTGTATCATAACACTTGTATTAATACTTATCATTGGTTGTATAATAACCCTCGTACTAATACTCCTATCCTTGGTGAAATAAATTTTTAGATCCACACTTCATATCGGACATCAATATTTGTATCCGAACAACATAGATCTAATCTCTCACAAAATTATGAGAAAAAAAGTAAATTTAATTATAGTAGCAGATTATGATAATTAACAAAATAATTTTTATTTTGTATTTGCTTGATGAGTTTAGAGGTCAAAGCGAGTATGATAAATTATATTATATGAAGTGAAAATTTTAAAATAAAAAGTGAATTGGAGTTTACAAGGGCGAATGAAGTGACAAAGGCACGATTGGTTGTGGGAGAGGAAAGGATGGTTTCTTGTACTTAAAATGATAACCAAGATACCGCAAAATAGAAAAAAAGCAAAATAAAAGGTATGTGCTTTTAGCAAGTAAAGAATATCCTTCTTTCCTTGTTTGTTATTGACTTTTTATATCTGAATATTAAGAAATAAAAAGAAAGATGTTTAGAAGGAGAGAATTAACGGTTATATGACATCACAAAATACAAAGAACTTGTCACTTATTTATGGAGATTTACTCCTCACTAAGATACACAAATGAAACGAAGGAACTTATATCTTTATACTCATTGAAAATGATATGGCGTTACTTTGGTTTATTTTATCACAAAACACTATAATCCGAAAACAGAAAAAGAATGTAAAACAACATAGGGGAATTGCCTTGCTCTTTGGTGGGCTAAAGAATCAAAGTTCAATTTAAACTTAGCTGACAATTAACCAAACCGAGAGACTTGTCCCGAGTTGTTAGGGAATTTTTGGCATGTAATATTGACTCTATATCTCATAACATCGCATTGCTGGGGAATTATAGTACCCCAGCAATGACAATACTGCGTAACGTATTTTATGTTAGTAAACTGTATTTGTAAACTAATTCTAGAAAAGATAAAACAACATAAACAAAAATATAAACGAAACAAAAATCAATTTGAGCCCACTGAATTCACAGTGTTTTCTTAAGGAATTTAATCCCCTCCTAGTACCTAAGGTTAAGGATTATTTCCTCCCAGGATAGAACGAATTATATACTTGTGTAGTGGTACTTCAAACCCAGTGTTTCAACGAACACAAAATTCGGTAGCAAATCATACTTATTGTTGCTTTATTTGAAGTTAAAACAATGCAGAAGAAGGAGGAGAAACTCAGAAAATCATATGAAATTCTGAGGGAATGGACTTGTATTTATAGTCAATATTGGGCTGAAATATGAAGAAGTGCAACTCTTCAGAATGGCCGTTTATACAAAACGGTCATAGCATAAATGTCATAACATAAATGGCTATTTACTCAACAATAAAGAGTAATTGAAGAGGATAGTTAATTTTCGATTACAAAAACAGAAAATGAAAAATTGGAAACAGTTGGATTTTAATATTAATATTTTTTGGATTTAATATAAATATTTTGTTATTAAAACGGATATTTAATAACATTTATATTAATATTTACTATTAACAAACAAATTTGGTCCAAAATATTAATCAACCAATCGATCATTTGACCCAATCCAAATTTGAAGCCGCATCCGAAGCCGAGCCGGACGAGCGACGACGGCAACAGCGCGAGACTTGCCTTCTTCTCAACTCTTTAAGATCTAGAAGAAGAGCAATTGCTTATATACCTATTAAAAATCTCTTCCTCTTCCAATATGGGACAATGTCCCTTCATGAAGGAGGGAATCTCAAATAAAACTCAAATATTTCATTTTCCCTCCATTTCCCATTCACCCTCTTTTAAGCATTAATATACTTAAAACCCAACAGTCCCCCACATGAATGGGGAATGGCTATATCACGAAAATATGCATGAAAAACTGTGTGATTCGCAAGCAAGGATTAATTGCATCTGGATAAGTAGGTTTCCTTTTGAACTTTCCGTAGTGAACTTATGTCGGATATACTCGATCAATCGGTGGATTTGATATCTTTGAACCGTCGAACTTTGGTGTATACTTAGACAACCATAAGTCACACAACCAACCCTTAACCATCTTTAGTTCTCATTGTTGTGTTTGTTTCAGTCATGAACACCGCCTAGTTTCATAAGTACATAGAGAACTGGTCTTGCGAATTTCTCCTTGAAGCGACTAACACTTCACACTTACATATGTGATTCCTAAATATGTCATCTCGTAGATACACTATTTGATATACCCCGTATCAAATTTAGAAATCATTAAAAAAAGCCTTAATGCTTTGTCCTTGGTACTGAACATTGTCTCATCACGAGAATAGACCAAAAGTTTAGTTGACAATGTTGAATAGTAATTAATGACTTTGTTTGATCTCCTTAAACCTAGATCTTGGGATCTCCAGTCTTCTAGGTAGAGTTACGGCCACTATAACTTGTTCTCGGCCATAGTCCCATTCCCCTTTATGATTTCTCAACTATCTCTCTAGTTAGGCCTTTTGTAAGTGGATCCGACACATTATCACTTGACTTTATATAGTCAATCGTGATAATTCCTCTAAAGAGTAATTGCCTAACAGTTTTATGTCTTCGTCATATATGACAAGATTTACCGTTATACATAACGCTCCCAACCCTTCCAATTGCCGTTTGACTATCGCAATGTATGCATATTGGTGCTAACAGTTTGGGCCAAAATGGAATGTTTTCCAAGAAATTCTGGAGCCATTCAGCTTCTTCACCGGCTTTATCTAAGGCTATGAATTCAGCCTCCATTGTAGAACGGGCAATACAAGTTTGTTTGGACAACTTCCAAGATACATCTCATTCACCAATAGTGAATACATATCCACTTGTTGTCACGACCCAAACCAATGGACCGCGACGGACACCCGATACCTTACTCAACCGAGTACCAATATAATACATCTTTTCATGTCATAATATCATAAATAACTGAGCCGGAGAGGCTGCCATGAAATAGGTAGAGTACAACAGGTAATGCCAACTTATACATAAGACATATGGGCCTCTAAGACCAAAATAACCACTTGAACACTGAACATAGGCCGACAAGGCCATACGATTTTTTACGTACATGACATTTGTCTAAAAACCTCTAAGAATACATAATTTTTATAAAGGTCGGGACAGAGTCCCACCATACCAAACAATACATATCTAACTCATACTAACCAAACAAGCAACTCTGAAGCAAATGAAGCGCACCAACATCTTTCGTTGAGCTGATGGCCTACTTGGAGGGCTCTCGACCTGTTTATCGGGACCTGCGAGCATAAAACGCAACGTACTCAGGCAAAAGGGACGTCAGTACGAATAATGTACTGAGTATGTAAGGCACATAAATAAGTACATAACAGACATGGAGGAAATATAGAGTAAAGGACTTCACCTGTAAGTCTGGATAACTTTGTAAATCATGAAATAATTATAGTGTCATGCATATGTATATGATTGTCATGTCGTGCATAGGTATATGTTTCATAACATCATCAGCCTTTGAGGGCGTCCTATCATATCATCTCGGCCACTGTGGGCAAATTCATCAACGCATACCAGCTGATCAGGTAGTGGTACGTATATAACGCCATAACCTTTTCCATATCCCATATGCATATATATACATACATGTACGCGTACATAATATCATCTGGTCATAGGTCAATGTACATGAATGCAATGCATGAAAAGTACGTTAATAAAATCTTTTGAAATATCATAAGACCATTTTGTCTTTGAGTAATATCGTAAAGTAAACTCTTTTCAACTTTCGTATTCTTCTGAGACCCATGAACAGATGGTAGAATATTATGACACATGAAAATTCAAGAACATAGATATCTCTAATACTTCTATGAATATAGTCATTTATGGAATTTGTGCATTTGCTCGTTTCGTTTGTGTCGTATAGATCATGCCAAAAAGAAATAAAGGATAGCCTTAACATATTTGGGATAGGGAAAATTTCGTATAATATTCTTGGAAAAGTTTGCACCGTACTCCTTTAGAATCGCAAAATTTTACGTTGCTACGGTTCTAACAATTCTCGTTAGAATTGTTTGGTTGCAAGAAGTTTGGTTGAAATCTTATAAGAATTGCTTGAAAGAATCACATTGTTAAGGTAATGTTTTAGAATCTCATTACAGAGTTTTGGTAAGGAATTTTGTAGGAATCTGATGTAGTATTTTTTTAGAATGAAAATGTTGTTTTTGTTAATCAAAATCTAAGAACTTTGCTAAAGCTTTCCTTGTGATTGTAGAGGTCTAAAATGATTTTAGATAGTCTTTTTAAGTCCTTAGGTGTGGGTCCTACTTATGCGGTGACTAAGCCACTATTCTTTCTTCATTTGCCACCTTATAACACAAATTTAAGAGTCATAAAATGGACTTTGACGTGCTGCCACATTGGGAGATTTAACTCCTTATCCAAAAGGTTTTAATTTACTCAATTAGCTTACTTACATAATTAATCTCCCACTAAATATCCATAATTACCCAATCCACGTAATTAAGAATTATCTCAAATTACTTAAAATACTACTCACTTTAAATAGACCTTACTATCATGGTCATGTGCTACCTTGTATGGCACTAGTCCATAAATATCGGGTATTTTATCTCGAGCCGTATTTTATCCAACATGTCAAACTTGGACGAAAATTCATTTTCCTTGACTTGTTTCCCCTCTCACCTTCACGAA